GGCGAGAGGGGGCGGGCCCAAGGCCCCCCGCTGTTCCCCCGCCCCGCCCCCCCGACGCTCGGCCGCGCGCACTCGCGCGCCTCGAACTACGAAGCGTTTGCTGGAGCTGCGGAGTTTCCCGGCTGCCTCAACCCACCTCCCCGACTGCGTGCGATCGCCCTGCTTCCCGGAGACGGACTCGGGAGCCGCTAACGCTCGACCACCCGCCGCCCTCTGCGCCTGGGTAACAGTCACCTGAGGAAAACCAGATTCCCTTTGAGGAGATTCCTCTTGTCCCCTCAGGCACGTCAAAAATGCTAACGCTCACTTAAAAAAAAAAAAAAAAAAAACATGACGCAAGCACCTGGTTGTTGTGTGGAAGTCCCACAGAATTCTGCAGGAGAGTCGTTTCTGAAAACCAGGAAGGATGCCAAGGGCCACTCTGTGCATTGCAGTGTGTTTGACACGATAGTCTCTGTCCACTAGAGATGTCCGGGCACATCACCCTTCCCAGCTGTGATAAAGATGTTTACAGACATTGCCAAAGGGTAGGAGGCAAATCACCTCGGGTTATGGACGACGCTGGTCTAGCTTTTCATACGAAAGGTCTCAATACATAGTGTTCTTTTTTTTTTTTTCACCACAAAGATGTATTTATTTTTATTTTGTGAGTATGAGTATTTGCCTGCATTTATGTGTGTGTACCACCTGCTTGCCTGGTGCTAGGAACTGAACCCAGGTCCTCTGCAAGAGCGGCAAATGCTCTTAACTACTTATCTTTCCAGGCCCCCAGATAGTGTCCTTTTTCATGCCTTCCAATAGCCTGGTCCAGGCAGTTTTCCAGAACATTCCTCCCAAATGAACACCCCTGCTAGGTACCTGGTCTTGCTTCCCTAGTTGGCTTAGGTTTCCCTGATCTAGGCTCCATTCTGATAAAACGATGATCACTATTAGTGTGAAATAGAACAGCAGCTACTCTCAAAATATGGGAGATTCCTTTATAAATACAATAAAATTGTATTATTTTACCTCCTGAGGGTAGTTCCATTTTTAAAAAGAGAAGACTATGGATAATATGAAACCTGTTCCTTGGTGAATAAAACCTTTTCCAGAAACCCCACATCACACTAATTACTGGCTTGTGTGCAAAAAAAAAAAAAAAAAAAAAAAAAAAAAAGAAAGGGAGGGGAGGTAATTCCAAGAGTGAAAAGTATGAAAGTTACAGGCAAATGATTGGAGTTCTGTGATGTGATGTGGGACAAGCCTTCCTGGGCTTACATTTCCTCATTTGTAATGTAAGATAGTTTTTGTTTCCCATTTCATGACTGGTAGCTTCTGCAGGTGGAATCAAACAGATAGTGTGAGAGTTAAAACAATATAACATTCATCCCTAGATGGAATGAACTAGGTAATCAGTCTTTATTTAAACCTCCTGTTTGAAAAGTTACCCTGGCAAATCTGTAACTAAACATTATGGATGAATAGAGAAAGTCAAACTATAAAATCTAGTGTAAATAGAAGAGCAACCATAGTAAATACCCTTCCTCCTTCTTCATCTTGATATATGCTTATCTGCCAATATGTTAGATTAGTGAAAACACCATGCTATTTTAAATTTGGGGCAACATACTAACTTCATATTTTAGCCACTTGTAAAAGTCTAAAATCTAAAACCTCAGATTTCAAGACTCTACAATTTTATCATTATCTTTGAAACCCTTAACCATGGACATTATGTCTTATTTTTGTGCTAGTAAAAGAGGTTTCATAAATCAATTAGTTGCCTAAGAGCTTTTTTCTTTTACTGAAACAGGCTCTTGATATATAGCCAAGGCTGGCCTTGAACCTGCAATCCTTAACTTTCCCTAGTGTTAAAAAAAAGAAAAATAACATGTGCCACCACAACTGACTTTTGCTTACTCATCTTTAATTGTATGAACTATATATAATATAATTTAAAAGCAGAATGCTCACCGAGTAAGAGAAGTTGTAAAACCACAAATCCATTTCTAAGCTAAGAATATTAAATGGTTGCTATCATATAGAATGAAAAGTTCCACTGTCTGTAACTAGCATCATTTCATCCAGTTTAGGTCAGTATCTTTCAACTAATTGTCCTTAATAAATATTTACTCCTTAGTAAAAAGTACAGTGAGCACTCCTATGTAATAAGCATTGTGCTATAGGGATAGAAACAGCTGCTAGTATATCCTGGAGCAATCCACAGTAGGTGGGGAGAGTGACAAGGTATACACTACAGTAAGAAAGCAAGGCAGATGAAATCAAGGGATCAGAAAGATAAGGTCCCTGTCTAGAGGAGCTTTGCTAAGTAGCTGGGGGGGAAGGGTGGGGACACAGAATAAACAGCAGTCAGAATACCTACAATAATGGGAAAGTAGGTAGGAATTTACAGTTTGTTAGACTGGAGGAATAAGTTCAAGAGATTTATTGTACAAAATAGTGACTATAATTAATCATCTATGGTATACTTGAAAACAGTACATTTTAAGTTTCTCACCACAAAAAAAAGCATCTGAGGAAATGCTAATTAGCTCAGTTTATCCATTCTGTAAATGTATACATATTTGAAAACATGTTATATATCTCAGTTATATGCCATTTTCATCAATTAAATTTAAAGTAAAAATTAGACATTGCATTAATCACTTTTTACCACTGTCTTATAGTTTCAGTCCATGGCTACTTATTGCGCTGGTTTGGGGGTCCATACTCATGGATGTGGGAACATGTAGTGAAGCAAAGCAGCTCATGTCATGTAGGACAGGAGACAGAATAAGAGAAGGTAAACAAGGGGATGTCTTTTAAATGTGCACACCCTACCTCCTAATAGCCTGTTCAACTGTGATGTCTGCTCGATCCATTAATCCATTGATGAAGTTGATCTCTTCTGGGGGGGGGTGTTAGGATTTGAGAGGGACACTGAGGAAGAATGTTCTTTCATGTAAGAGGTTTATTAGAGCTGTTAACGCTATGGACAGACAGCAATGCCATGACAGAGTCTCTGAGATGTCAGACTCAAGCCACAGGTGAGGCAAATGGCATGACAGCAGCTCTGATGAGAGTTTGGGAGGGAAGGGGGCGAGGCACAATGGGGGTCAGAGGAAGGAGGAGGATTCATAGCACTGTTTGCAGTTACAATGTTTTTGATTCTCAGGTGGCTGGGAGGGGAGGGAGCCTGCATTCCAGGGATAGAATTAGTGACTGTGCTTATGTAGGGGAAGTGAGATTCCAGTAGCTCTCTGATGCCTGGCAGCCTGAGCCTTTAAAACTTCTTTGAGGAAGTGGGAATTGAATTAGGATGTCTGCTTTTCTCCAGGACTCAGGGCACCTGGGGAGTCTATTAGGGAGTTAGGGATTCACAGACAGACCAGGAGGGGAGGCCGGGGAGGGGGTAAGAAAAGAAGCTACTGCAGGACCTGATTAGCCCTTAGCTCAAAACCTAACACCTCCTAGATCCAACCATCTCTTAATTGTACCCAACCAGCTGGGGTCAACACAAGAGCGTTTTTGGGAGGGACAGTTCAGATTTAAAACACAACAGACATTAGCCCTTTGTCTAAATTTGAATGACAAGTACACGGACAATAGAAGTCTGGGTTTATTATAAGAACAAAGATGAGAAATAACCCCAGGATAAGGTGTTCAATATTTAGAATATAAGTCATTCATCACACTTTCATTTAGACATTACTTAGTGGCCCTGTGCAAGCTGAGGACATTTAGCTAAATAAAGCATGTCCCGTGAGAAATTTTATTCTGGAGAGAGGAAGTAGGTAAATTTGGAACTTTGAAATTTTTCTGATGAAGCTATCTACATTCAAGACTAAATTTCAAAACAGCAAGTCAAGTCTGTTCTTAAAAGAGATTTGCAAAATTACATATTTTCCTCATAAATTTCTCAATCAAATGTGTTTCATTTGCAAGAAAAATATCAGCTACTGCTTTAGCTCATGTTAATATGTGAATGTCTGTGATTAGATCTAAGTAATATATGACGTGAACCCTCTTTTATTTGTGAACTCATTTTTGATTGAAATTTAATTCCATAACTGTTTCAAACAGCTTTTGTGTCTGGGGTAGTGGTGTGGCCTAGGATCACAGCTATTTGGGAAGTCAAGGAGAGGAGATCACTTGAACCCAGAAGTTAACACCAGCCTGGGTAAGGCAGACAAGCAAAACCCCAAACAATGCCCAGCTAGTTGCTGACTGAAAGCTTTCTTAGTTAGTGTGAGACTCTCCTGTCCTATCCCCAGCAGTAGGACTGTGATAAGAGAGTTGGGACAAAAAAAGCTACATGTGACAGAAAGCAGTTTTCTGAAGATCATACCCCATCCTTAGCCTGACATCATCTATGAATAGGGTTTATGTGAAACAAAGCCCCAAAATGCAAACAAGAGGAAGCAGGACAACAAAAAGACAGGCTCTGGTCAGATGCTTTCCAGGCCCTTTCCTCTGCTCACTAGCCCACCTCATTTGTAGGAATGCTTTTTGCTTTCTTAGTAAACCTATTTCTGTTCCACACCTAACTAGAAAGGCAGGATTTTTTCTCTGACTGCTTTTGGTGGCTACAAGGATTGCCACCTAACCAGTGCTATGCTTTTCCCTTAAATCCAAACAAAATTCTCCTTGAGCTCCCTTTGAGTCAATTTCTAAATTCTTTCATTAATGAGACTAAGAATCCCAAAAGGGAGCCCTGTTTCCCTGGTAATAATAACAACAAAAACAAAACCCATTATTTGTCCATGCTTTATCAATATTTCCAATCTTAGCTACTTTGTTAGACAATGGGTATGTTTGGAACTTCATCTGAGATTGACATTTTCTCTATTTTCTTCTTTGAGTTGTTTTGTTTTGTTTTGTTTTTTTACTATTTTATGACTGATCATTAAGATCTTCAAGATGAACTGGATGCTATAATAGCTGGATGCATTGTTCCTTCACAGACCCCAGGTCTAACTCTGTGACATGTGTTTTTTAGGTGTCTCATTTGCGTGGCCCAGGTAGTATTTTGTCCTAGCCTTGACATTCCAGCAATACTTCCTCTGGAGCTTGGCTGGGTAGCCACATTTGCATGTTGGCTTTTGAAGGTGGTAGGCCTTAAAGCCACAATGGCAGCATGTAGTGCATCTGATTGCCACGTTTTCCAAATGATGACGTTGTCCATTCCTCTTCTTGCTTCTGCAGCTAAGAACAGGAATTCTCTGCACTCATTAAACAGTTGTTCTCTTCCTGTCTCATGGGCACATTGTCTTCTCCAATGATAAGTTTTGGGGTGTCCTAGAGTTCTGACATTGAACAGTTCACTTCTCTCTGGTTTTGAATTACAGCTATACTATTCACCATCCAATCAGAAGAAAGTCATTTAATTTCTCTGAGATAAAATGAATGTGTAAAAAAAAAAATGGACTCTTCTATACTGGTTATGAAGATTAAGTGAATTTATGTAACCAGTCTTTCTCTGTCCTACCTGCCAGCTCCCAGCTCCCAAATAACCCCAGAGACTTCTTATCATGAAAGTTTGACCTTAGCTTAGGCTTGTTCCTAACTAATTCTTATAACTTAAGTTAACCCATATCTTTTAATCTATGTTTTTATATGGCTCGGTTACCTTTACTCTGTATTTCCCATCCTGATTCCTCTGGATCCAGCTGGTGACTCTGCCTTTCTTCTTTCTGAAGATCTCTCTGGCCCCAGAAGTCCTGCCTAACCTCTTGTTGTCTAGCTATTGGCCATTCGGCTCTTTATTAAACCAATCACAGTGACACATCTTCACACAGTGTAAAGGAATATTCCAAAACAAATTTATATATGTCAAATGCTTAGAGCAGTGCCCAGATGCTGTGCATTATTTGTTTTTGTTGTTAGTATCGTGTTCTGTGTGTTACTGAGGATCAAAAGACAAGGCTGTGTGCATAGGCAATTGCTCTACCACTGAGCTACATCCCTGGCTTTACCATCATGTTATTATTTACTCCCTCGATGTCATCTAATCTCATTCTATCTAAACACACTAAACTTGTAAACTTAAAATATACCTGTAGCCTGGAATTCTACTTTAAGCTGCGATCATATATTCAATTGACAGCTCAGTATCTGCAGTTGAATTCTAACTAGCATTGAAGATTTAATGTGAAAATTATCATCTTGCCTTGTGTCCATTTGTTCAGGCATTCTTTCACATGTACATAAAATCAGTCATGAGATTTTGTTATATCTACCTTCAGAAGATACTCACCCCAAACTAGGAAGATGGCTCAGGGGTAAAGGTGTTTACCACCAACCTTGACACCCCGAGTTTGACCTCTGGAATATATATGGTAGGAGGAGAGGACCAGCTACCACAAAGTTGTCCCCCAACCTCCACATGTTCAGTGTCACATATATGCAAGAGCAGCATGCACATACACAAATAAATATGTAAGTAAATACATTTTAAAAAAGCTGTCCAACCCTGGTGTTTCCAGTGTACTCCAAGCTGTCATCCTTTGCTTGGATTACTACAGTAGCCTCCTTCCCATTGGTATTTTCTCTTCTAGTATAGCTGCCAGTAAGGCAAATAATGAAGTCAAGTCACTCTGCTGCTCAGCACTCTCTGGGTCAATATGATCTTTATTTTCCTGACCTCAGCTCAGCTGTTACTACCGGTTCCCTTTCTCATTCCACATCAAACACAGCCCCCAATGCTCCTCCTGTTCCAACAGCTTCTGTTTCAAAGCTTTTGCATTTGATGTTTCTTGTGCTTGAAGTAGTCTCCACAAGGCTGCTTTACTTCATTTAGGTCTCATTTCAGACATTCTCAGTGGGGTCTGTTACATACTAGATAAACAATCTCCTAGGTAGGACTTTCTTTTTAGTAACCCCACTACTCTGTTTTTCACACTAATTCACCACCTGACGGAGTATATATATTATCTCATCTCTTCAAACTAGACTAGTAGCCTCTATAAAGACAAAGACTTTATTTTATTATTATCTAGTTTTAGATTTCTATATGTCTATTACAGTATCTGATACATAGATAGTACTTAACAAATATTTGCTGAGTAGATATGAATGAATGACTTGGATATGAGTAGGTAGAGTAGAGATGATGACTCAGAGGCAAACTTCAGTTTTGTCATGTGTTTAGCTTATGATTATCTCATTTCATAAGAAAACTCTGCATGAGGGTCTCCTGCTTCTTCCATTCAAGTGGCAGGAGGTAGATAGGGTAGACAGTGGCAGATAAAGAAAACTATGTGTACTTTCCTACCTCATTACTATGCTTCATGGGTTACTATAGCTACTATAATTCCCTATTTATAGTAATTTATAATTCCCAAGAATTAGAAACCAAAAAGTCCCTTCCAAAGACAGAATAGATGACTAATTACTTGCACTTAGCTTTAGTTCCAGAACTTCTGCAAGTTTCTGACAAACTAAGATATCTTGTTTCTAATATATAACAGCTCTTAAGGCTTACAGTGTAAAGGTTCAACAGTCTGCTGTCATGAAACAGACTAAGGGAAGTCAGGCTAACAGTGAATTTTGGTGGAAATTACAGCCCAGGTATAAGAAGTCAATCTACCTAGAACTCATTAAAATCTGTCAGTGGATGCTGATAGCAGACTTTATAAACTTCTCACAGGAAGGCCTAACCTTCCCATGTGAGAGACCCTAGAAGGATTGTAGTAGGTATTGGCCCTCCCCAGGTTTTTATAAGTGAGTTGGTGGAGTGGGAGACCAGAAACATCCAAGTGGTTCCCTGTAGAGCTATTCCTAGAGCCACTCAGAAAAAAAAGGACACCCTTTCCTCTTTCCAGACTAAATTTTAGAGGAATGTTTCAAAGCATACTTGGTATGTTAAACTATTCAAATCAAATAGATGTAAACAATGTGTAGCTCCTGCTGGGGCTTAACTAAACAAGTACTTAGAGAAAGCTTTTAGGCCTCATGGGTCCTGGGTAACATTTTAAGCAAACACAGGAAAGCAGACAGTCTCTCAGCCCATTCTTTCATCTCAGGTCAGGGCATCCAAGAGCAGAAAACAATTTGGCAACAGCAGTGAAAATACATTAACCACCCGTCTCTGTTCCTTTTAGATTATATATGTGTGTATATATGACTACACACAAAATCTTGGTAAAAATGGATGAATTTGCTTTAATGAAGACATGGACAGTCAGCATTATTTCATAAAGCATCTGAAGTGCCCTGTGTACAAAATACAGACAGCACAAGGCATGGCAGTAAAATTAGGGGTAAAATTTAGTAAAATTAGATTTTGTGACTCATTATTTTAGTCAAATGTAATCTGTTTGTGTGGGTCAGGAAACTGGAAGCAAGTTTACTGGGTGGCTCTGGTTTATGGCCTCTCCTGAGGTTGTAAGTCAGGGTGGCAGCTGAGACAGTAGTCATCTGGAGGCATGGCTGAGACTTATGGGAGTCTTTCAAGAAGGCTCACTCTCATGGCTGTTTACTATGGGCACCATTTCCTAGTCACTTGGCTCTCTCTTTGGGTGGAAACACCTGTCTCACTCCAAAACAAAGGATCCAGGGGAGTGACTAGAGCAGAAACCATGGACCCTTTTATGATTTAGTCTCCTAAGCCAGTCATTAAATCTTGCCCATAGTCAAGAGAAAAGGATAGACCCTGTCATTGAGGAAATATCAAGTATTTGTGACCATATTTGGGGCTTGTGGTTGGTTGGTCATCTGGTTTGACTTGTTTTTATATTTTGTACTTGCTAGACAAAATTTACCACTAAGCTGCATCCCCAGTCCTGAGGAATATTATTTTATCTGTGACCTTGGAACATTTTACTCCCCTCTGAGCAAGTAACCACTTGGGATTATATAGATAAGATCAAATGATAGCAGGCCATTATCACAGCCCATATTCATGTAAATAACTTATATGTTTCTATTCCAAACTCCACCCAACTGTTGACTATGAGTCTTGCAGAAAATCCTTATCATTCCTTTCTCATGAGTAATATAGGAAAATGCACACTCCCATGACAGGATTACTTTACACCCATTGCTAAGCATTTTTGATATGGCACTTTCTCAAGAGGTATCATAAGTCCAAGTAACATTTAAACCTGAAAATTCAAAATTCAGTTGCCTCTGTCTTCAGATTTCATCTCCAGATTGCTTCAGTGGGCTTGTTTGGCCCCAGTTTTCCTTCCAGAAGTTGTTTCTTGTTTTGTTTTGTTTTTTTAGCTGTAGAGACTGTTTTCTAAACTATGCATTTCTGATGTTGTGATATGTTTAAAGGAATAAGGGTCCCCCCAAGTAAATCTCTCCTTTGAGACAGAATATTTTTTTTCTGGTCTGATAAGGTCTATTTTAACTTTGAAAGTTAAAACACAATCTTGTGAAAATATAAAACATGTAAGTTCATATATTAACAAATGGTTATATTATGAAGAATAATAGTAAATGAAAGAAAAACATATCAAAGAAGTGACTAAAAATAAAGACCAATGAGACAGAATATTTCTATACTGTGTTGATACATTCCTAGACTCAAGTGATCTAAATGCTAGGATTTTGATAATATGTATATGAGGCTTTTGCCTACATGTCTGTCTGTGCACCACATGTGTGCTTGTTGCCTGCAGAGGCCCTAAGAGTTATTGGATCTCCCCTGGGACTAGATTATGGATAGCTTTGAATCACCATGTGGATGCTGAGAACTAAACCTGTGTTTCCTAGAAGAGCAGCAAGTGCTCTTAACTGTTGAGCCATTTCCCTATTCCCTCTGATAAAAATTCTTATGCTAATTCAAAAATAAAAATAAAAACAGCAAAAATGCATTGATTACATAGTACATAGCTTCTGTAGCTCTTCATTGGCAGGCTATTGGGGAAAAGCTGAAACCTGAGACTGGGAACTGACCCATTCCTCCCTGCATGCTAGCAGTATTTCCAGGAGTGGACTGGATAAGCAAGCACTCTTTCTGTGTCACAGACACTTGTGACAGTACAGTGAGATGTATTATTAAGAGCAAGAAGATTTGGGTACAGGTGTATTTTTGTCTTTTAAGCCTAATAAAACTGTAGACACAAATTTCTGTTCTGCACAGTCCTGGAGCCATTTAGTTCCAAATAAACACACAGAGGCTTATACTAATTACAAACTGTTTGGCCATTGGCTCGGGCTTCTTATTGGATAACTCTCTTTTAATTATTATCTCAATT